TGACATGCTACACATGCAATGACAATTGCATCTTAAGTCCGATGTCCGTCAGACTCAGCGATTGTGCCTAGCGATGGGCGATCACGATTGGCACAATCGCCGAGTCTGACGGACATCTCAACTGTGTCGCAGATCGATACGTATCAACTACTCCTCACTCGAACAGTTGGGCTTTCGAAAAACTTTCGGCGCGAGGTCACATGGTGTTTAGGTTTGCACTGGGTCACCGCGTCGCCCCCTATGCGAACCGCAGCTTGTGCGACCAACTATGAATGCGCCCTGAGAGTGTGATCAAGTAATCATGAGTCGCTATTCAAGTGAGGCTCTGTTCAGAGATGTCCGCTTGCGCGAAAAAACGCATAGGCGAAATAATGTGAAATATGTATCGACTGAACGAAGACGCACAGGCGAATCGTGAAGTGGGAGGATCGACGAAAATGAGTATCATACGCATCGACTTACGAACGCTTCGCTCACGCGATTTTCCGCCTGTGCGTTTCTCACAGTCGATACATATCAAACTCTTGACTGAAATTCGCCTGCTCCGGACGTTTCGCTTACGCGTTTCCCAATTTCTCAGTCGATGCGTATCTAAATCTTGGCGGAGATTTTCATTCTATTTCGCCTGTGCGTTTCTTTCGCGTAGGCGGGCATCTCTGAACAGGGCCTTAGACACCTTATTAGGGTCGAACACATGTTCGTTACAAACCACTCCACACTCGAACTGCGAAGTGTGACACGGCTCTTAGGATGAAGGGACATACCCAAGGAGGAAGGATGAAATGGGCGCAATGTGGCTCGGGGGGGGGGCACTCTGAGAAAAGTCATCTAGGACTAAGCCTAAACAGCAGGGACGAACTCCGGAGAATACGAAAATTGCTTCCGTACACCGGAGTTCCTCTCCTCTTCAAAAGCTTAGTCCTAAAACGGAGCGTTTCCGTGATTTTGACGCGATGTTGCGAGGTGCCCCCCGAGCCACATTGCGCCATAAAATGGGTTTCAGATTATATTTGCACAGAAAAACTTCATGCCTATGTGACAACGAGAAAGAGATGGGCATGGAGGATGGTCCGCCCGAAGTTGAAGAAATGCCGCCGTGAATTTTGGGTACGATTACCACTACTATTCCGCAATTACACAAACTCATTTGTTTTACGGAACGTCTATTTGGCGTTTTTGAACATTCGTTCATGCCTCTAAAGAAATCTCTTTGAAACCAGCACCATAACAAAATGTTGGTTTTATTTTTTTTCTGGGCTGTGTGTTGTTTTGTTGTGCTTCACTCTTGAGCTATTTGAAACTGTCCGCCATTACCTACGCCAGAGGAAGTGGTGGACAAGTTGTACCCATAATTGTAATCATTTTTATAGGAACTGGATTTGGTTACTAGTAGGGTTCTTTTCTATTTTGCATGAAGGTTTGGTTAAGTATATTTGCTAGAACTCATCAGAATAATGTCGCATGTCCAAATCGTCCCTTCGTTATTACTGGTTGTTTTCCATGGTTTGCATAGCGAGGGTTGTCAGTTGGGCTTGTTCAGACAAAACATTGTCAAAAAACTTGCCCGCCAACTTCCAACGTGTACTGGCGAGTCTTGGAACGGCACTGTTTACCCCTTACTGCCCCATTTCTCAACAAGCCGGATTCTAATCGAAATTTGTCCATGACTATTTGGCTAGAAAATTGTCTCTGGGGTATTCCCACCGTAGAACACGAATATCACATCAAATTAGCGCGCAAACGTTTGAAATGTCTTCAGGTAGCAATATCATGGACCCTAAAAACACCTTTGAAATAATTACGTATGTTCAAGAGCACGGCCTCATACTGATAGGGAAGCCAAACAAACAAGTCCGCCAACGAAAGTTCCCTAGAGCGCACTGCGTTTTACTTCACTGCCTACTTCCAAAGCCCTGCCATGTATTTTTCACAAAATTTCTGCGTCAGACCATGGGTTCGAGACTAGAAAGTTGAGGTGTGGTTCGCTATACAGAACCGGCTTTTCGCGTTTGGCGGTGCGAACCCATTTTTAGGCTGAGGCAGGAACCTCGGAGATTACACTGCTGCAATGAAGTAAGGACCTGCCAACCAATCGAGGCCACAATACACAGTCGAATCCATGCGCATTATGGCAGACCTTGTCCGTCAGGGCGTAGTTTTTACGCCGTTAGGATAATACCACAAATATTCGTTTTTGCGAGTGAGCTTGCAGCTTGTTTCACGAGCGCAGGCGCAAATTAGTGCAATAGCGCCGGGCGCCTGCGCTAGCGCGTCAAACGTTTGCGCGCTAATTTGATGTGATATTCGTGTTCTACGGTGGGAATACCCCAGAGACAATTTTCTAGCCAAATAGTCATGGACAAATTTCGATTAGAATCCGGCTTGTTGAGAAATGGGGCAGAAAGGGGTAAACAGTGCCGTTCCAAGACTAGCCAGTACACGTTGGAAGTTGGCGGGAAATTTTTTGACAATGTTTTGTCTGAACAAGCCCAACTGAACACCGCTCTCGCTAATGCAAAACGTCATGGAAAAAACGTGATATCATAAAGAAGGATGTACGATGATCGGAGGTATACACCGAGATGCTCGCCTCTTTGAAAAAATTTCCCGCGCGCGCACGTTCAAATATACGTGGCACTGGAGCGAGCTTACAACTAGCTAGACTGATTGGAGACACACCAATTCCGTGCCTTTCGTCATATTTTGAGTTTGATCTCCGTACTAGTACCACCGCAGGCAAGAGTACAGATATTCTCACAGAAGAGCAGGGAATGATGAATAGGGGATGCGGTCGTTTGCACGAGAGTACTGGTAGGAAGCGTCTTCGGATAGTAAGGTAATGATTTGGAAGTATGGGAATTTAGACACCACCACAAATGTACCACTTTTTGATCCCACAAGAATCGATCTTCGTTTTTCCTAACTCTTGTAGCATTGAATTAGTATCCTACAAAACGTTTTTCAAGAAAATTATAAAATGTCAGTATGTTGACGCTAATCCTCGTTAAATCCACACTGGAGGCAACAAGAGCAATTTATCAGGGATTTTTCGCTGCGACTGCTCGGATTTTGTGCTTCCATTCAGTAAGTCGTGTGAGTAAAGCCCATCCACCGCTCATCATTTTCAAATATCTACAGCGGTGTTTTCAAAGGCTGTTCGCCAGTCAGTGACCTCAGCAAAAGTAATGATACATATATTACACGAACAAGCGAGGAGTCATAGGAGCAGTTGTGATGAACTTACCAACATAATTTTCTGACGAAAATTGCATTAGGGGAAATAAGTGGATGCTAATTGATTACCAAAGCATTGATTGGTGGCTACTAGTTAGTGTCTACAAGTGAAAATCAGAAAGTTGCCTTAAATTTTCACCGGACGAAGATCTGCCTATATTATGTGTTTCAGTATGTGCTAAGAAATAGAGACGCAATATGTTGAGTGCGCAAATCGTTTTGAATACAGTGACCTGGCAGTAGAAGTACAGTCACCTTTGAAGGCAGAGCAATACCACCAGTTCGCCTAGAACATAAGAGATGTACTCATCCCATCCTTAGTGGGGCTTGGTGGGTGGGAACGGCAGCACGCGACACACTCCGTTAGCCGTGTAGGGTTATGGAAACGCTCAGTTTTAAGACCGAGCCTCAGAGGAGAAGAGTGGCCCCGAAAAGCGTGAGCAACTTTTTTCTTCAAAATTCGTCTCTCCCTCCGTAGCTCAGTCTCGGAAGCCCTTCTACAAACTGCACCCTCCTCCCGTCCTCCTTCACTCTACAATTACAAAAAGATCATTACCTAACGAAGAATACAAACACTGACTCTCAAGAGATATCTATTTGGGAAGTTAATCTTTCATTGTGAACCCTCTACCTCTACAAGTCGCATTCCTTCAGGATTGCCGTAGTGACTTTAACACCAGCACAGCTGGGAGAAAGCTCGCCCCAGTGCGACTTTTGTTCAAACGAGCGCGCGCGGGAAGTTTTTTCAAAGAGGCGAGCATCTCGGCGTATACCTCCCGACTCCGGCCGATTTTACATGCGACATTATTCTGATGAGTTCTAGCAAATATACTTAACCAAACCTTCATGCAAAATAGGAAAGAACCATACTAGTAACCAAATCCAGTTCCGCACATTCACTATTGCCCCGACCCGTCCCGGGTACCCCAAAAACTAAAATTATTTTTCGTGAAACTTTCGCACCTATAGGGCGTAAATCCTCGTGCCTTGATCACAAAATAGGTCATTTTTGGCGTTGTCGCATTTGGCCCAACGGCGCGCAATTTGGCGCTCAAGGCTGTTCTCATAATTACCCTGTATAACTTGCACAAACAGGAGGTTATTTAGCCGTCTGTCATTAGCGATATGTCAATTCGATTTGTTAGCCATTCGCCGTTCAAATTTCAGTGCACTCATTTCAATCTCCTGGGTCCTCTCACTTGTACATAATACCTAGGACTGAGCCTAGAAGGAGGGAGGACTCCGGGGTGGGTGAACCAGTCAACATGTGGCAAACGTTAAAGCGTATAAGATCACAGGATAAGTGTTATTCACTTCGGAGCACTCTCCTCCTCAAAGGCTTAGTCCCGATCGCGAGGTGATCAGTGAGAGGGCGCAGACGAGCGGAAAACAGGCGCGCACACAGGCGCTGGAGGGAAAAATGAATGTTATATTCGTGATCAGGACCCAAATAACCCCTATGTGCAAGTTTACAGCGAATTTGGTGAAAACACCCTTGGCGCCAAATGGCGCCAGCGCCAAAAATGAACCTCATTTTCGTGATCAGGGCACCGAATTACCCCTATAGGCGAAGTTTCGACGAAAAATAAAATTTTGAGTTTTTGGGGTCGTAATAGTTGAATAGTGCCCCAGTTTTCTTCAAAATATAGAAAAGGGTTA